AATATTTTCACCCAGCACGGTAAGGTGGGAAGAGGGCTGGGGCGGGAAGGAAGGAAGGAGGGAGGGAGGGAAAGCGAGAGAGTGGGTTGCGGCAGATGCTGGAGGCGAGTGGGTGTGGCACAAAAGCGGAGGCTAGGATGGGGGGTCATGTCTTTAGGAGCGCCATTGAGGCAGGGCTGGTGTCTCTTCCCCTCGCCTTAAAAAGGTGACGAGCTGTTTTTCGACAGTAGACAAAGGTTTGCTTCATCTGGTGTGCTGCCTCCAACAGTGGCCGGCTAGAACTCTTTGGGAAGCATCCAAGTAGGTAGCACCCTTCTTGTGCCTCCTCAGTAGCTGATATTAATAGGTAAATCATAGGTTTGGGGATTCCAGTTTAGGCACACAGGTGACAATAGCAACCACTTTCAATGAAGTGTATTGTGTTTGTTCAAAGCCCTGTTTTTTTAGTTCACTGATGAATATTTAAGAAACAGCTTCGTGCATTTCATAAAGAGATTTCAGTATATGAAAGTGCATGACCCTATAAATGGGTTGATTTTCTAAGTGTCTGAGGACATTCTTACTGTAACACACAACATGGCTACCCCATCAGGATATGAAACGTATGCAGTATTTTTCATAAGCATAACTTTCTTTGGCTGACTTTCCAGGTGTATATACTGATAATTGTACTGTTTGTTTATATGTTAGTAGCATATGGTACTGTATAGGCTTACAACCCTTTGGGTGATGTTTGTTAATGGTTGTACTCATGGGATGTTTTAGACCTTTTCAACAAACAGTGCTTTGTTTGCAGTCTGAATGTAGTCCATATGAGATCCTTGCATTATGAATATTGCTTTCCTTATTTGTTAATTTCTGTGGTCACAATGAAATTAACGTATCCTGTCTCCACTTCTTCACTGATATCCTATTGGCTTTTTCTTTTCTGTCACAAGGTCCCATTTAAAATGCTCTTAATATATTAGTAATCTTGGTAAGATGCGTGTCACAAAGTGCTGTAATACAGTTTTCCTGTCATATAGCCCAGAAAGTGCCCCAAAGATTCTTTTATTTTTTATCTAGTTTTGTGATAGTCATTGTTTATCATATTTCCTTTTTGCATTCTTTGGATGTATTGCAATGATGTTTCTACTCTTCTTAGGTTAACAGTCTGTTTCATTATGACTTTTACTGGCATTGATGAGGACAGAAGGGAAATTAGAGTTTGTGCTCTCTTGGGAGAAAGTTAGCATCTTATCACTAACGGGAAGGCTGTGCGGTTAGGAAGGTGGGCGGTCCAGTGCTTTTAGACCTTATTGGTACAGCAAGGTAAGAGAACACAAAGGGTTTCTTCTGTCACTCTTGTTCTCCTATGGTGTTGTGAAAGACATTATATAAGATAATAGAACTGTGCAATATTATGTTCTAGGGTCACATACAGCTTTACTGTGGTTGGAAGTCTATGTGGCTTTTATAGAAAGCCCAAATAGGCACCTATCACCAACATATTAGTTATATTGTATCTTGTATCTAATCTGGAATTGGCCAAATAGTATTTATTCAGCTAAATATCACAGGGTGATTTGCAATCTTGTATGGTATTTGATAATTTGAAGTAGTTATTGTGTACCTGTTATGTATTTTTTGTAATTTGAGATTCTAGGAGTGATGCTTATTCATGTTCAGCTTGAAGACAAAGGGAAATGATATGAGCTTATATATTTGCTGTGGGCAGATAGAGAAGTTTTCAAATTTACAACAGGGGCTTTTAAGCTTTCTGCCTTCAGAAAACCCATTTTCCTAGATTCCTTGAGCTGTGGAACCTCAAGTGTACAACTTGTTCTAGGAACGCACTATGTATGTGTGATATGCTAGCCAGTTATACTTGCTCCACCATTACTCTTTTCTTTTTATATGAAAAGAGAGTAGAATACACAGGTTATATGGATATACATTGTAGGAAAAAATGAGCATTAATGAGAAAGTTTTATGATACCCACGTTTTCTAGAAAATTAATAGAGACGATAACTGGTAGGTGGCAGGTCCAATGGTATTTAATTTTATTGGTGCATCAAGGGAAGAAAAATGAATGGTTTCTTCTGCACTCTTGTTCTTTTATGATGACTACATTCCAGTTGTGCTGGGTGTATTATGCTATCAATATGGCTTCCATGTCCTCTACCTGAGTAGTGTGGAAAGCGAAAGCACACCATTGAGAAATCCAAAAGGGCACTAAATGTAGATATATTGATTTGTATATTCAATTTATATAGCTGCCCATCTCACATTCATGACTCTGGGAAGCTTACAGTTAAAACATAAACAATGCCAAAAAAACAAAAAATAAAACAACCATGCAAGCATTACAAAAACGTTAAAACAATCAAAAACCATATAATACAGTCACTGGGAGAGAATTCATGGAAATATTGTTATAACCTTACTAATAAGAAATGATATTGGTGGCGCTCTCCTTGTATGGAGAGAGCCACTTAACTCACAATAATGTGGACATGCTCATAATGTATCTTCTTGCATCACAACCCATACAAGTGTTAACATAGTGTTCCCTTTAATTCCTTCCCATGACCAGCAATGGTCTTCCTTCCCAAGACCAGCAATGGTCTTACTACTATCTCCACCAGATAGCAGTTCAGATCTCTCTGTGCTGCTCACAGGCACTATTTTTTCAGCATGATAAGTAAGGCAAAAGATCTAATTTAATAGAATTCAGAATTCAGGCATAACTTTTTTTGGCAGAAGGCCTGAAGAAAGACAGACAGTCCTCTCAGAGGAGGGATATGACACTCAGTTGAGGAAGGAAAATACTCCTTTGCCAAAGAGCTTGGTAACCAGAAACAAATCTTGGTAAATAAGAGGAGATGTAGCCATTTATTTATGACATCCTCCTCCAGTTGATCATTGAATAAGTTGTAGGATTGGGAGTCAGAAAGTGCATTTGAGCCTATGATTGGAAAGCAGAGAAAATGTCCTCACTTGGTTTTTTGAAAGCAGTCATGACAGAGAAAGAAGTTCTCAGGATTTAAGCCCTAGTTAGGTTCTACAAAACATTTCCCTAAAACTAGCTAGCAATTGAAGACTTTATAGCTTTTGTCTTCCCTGCTCCAGTTTCCTTTTCTTAAAGATGAGCACTGGCCAGGTGGAACACCACAAAATTCAAATTATAAACCCACATTAGAAAGATTAATGTTAGGCTTACTGGTGAATGGTATGGTATACTTCATATACCAGTTAGTCATTTTGACCCCTTTCTTTTTACTGTTTTTCTCAATAGCAAGCTTTGTCATGCTGAATTTCAGGAGCCCCCTCAGTCCTACCTTTAGCTCACTGTTCACTCTGGAGGCAGTACCCATTCCATTGATATACTCTAGAATCCATCCTCCCTCAGGTTTTCAAATTGTTTTGTGGAATCCTAGGGTTCTGTGAGAAGTTGATGAGGTTCCATGAGAGACTAAGGGCAAAAAAAAAAAAAAATCACTCAGCACAGCCAATTTCCTCTCATTAGAGCTTTGTCTCTAGATAGGGGTTCTGGGAGATTTTTTTTTTTTTTTTTTTTTTTT